AGCTTTTGGAAGCTGCCCGAATTCCTTAGCTTGTGGTCCTTCTTACATCTTTCTGTATCATCACTCCAACTTCTGCTTCCATCATCCCATCTCCTTTTCTTCAATTGGCCTTGCCTCATTCTTATGAGGTCCCCTGTGACTATACTGAACCCATTAGGGTGATCCAAGAAAATCTTTTCATCTGCGATCCTAAACTGGATCACACCAGCAAAGTGTCTTTTGCTGTGTGAGGTAACACATTCACAGACTGTGAGGTTCAGGATGTGAACATCTTTGAGGACTGTTATTCTCTATTCCACAGGTCCTCACTCTTGTGACATAGGAATCATTAGAGCAGACAACAAGTAGTTTCTTCTGCAACAGTGAAAACAAAGTTCATCAGGAAAATAAGTCAGAGTAACATGAGGAATTGTGAGAGAATGAGGCTGGGCTGTGGAGACCAGTGGGTTTCCTCAGCTGGTACTATGTGTCTGTTCTGCTGCTCCATCTGTCTTCCTAATTCACTCTCCTTTTTCCACAGACATTCCAGTTAACTGGCATGGATCAGTTAATAACAGACTTCATAATAGGAAATAATTGGCAGCAATTGGCCATCAAGTTGGTTCCTCACTACACGCAAATAGTAAGTAAGGCAGGGGGGATTGTCTCTCCAGAAAACCTTGGTAGAATTCAAAGAGCCCTTAAAGAGGCCAACCTAAAGGATGTGGCTGACATAATTGAGGAATCACTTGTGGCAGCAGAGAACGCTTCCCTGGATGTGGCTGTTATTGGGGAATCCGGGACTGGGAAGTCAAGTTTCATCAATGCACTGCGAGGGCTTAGTTATGAAGAGGAGGACTCTGCGAGTGTTGGAGTTGTAGAGACCACCATGAAGAAAACCCCCTATCAGCATCCAAAATATCCCAATGTGACCTTCTGGGACCTGCCTGGAACTGGAACACCCAATTTCCATCCAAATGCATATCTAGAAATGGTGGAATTTGCCACCTATGACTTCTTCATCGTGATTTCTTCCTCACGGTTTAACCTCAATGATGCTTTGCTGGCCCAAAATATCAAGGAGATAGGCAAGAAGTTCTACTTTGTTAGAACTAAAGTGGATGATGATTTGTATAATGAAGAGAAATGCAAACCCAAGACCTTCCAAAGAGACGGAGTTCTTCAGAAGATACGAGACAACTGCCTGGCTAATCTCAGCCACATTGGAGTGGCTGAGCCACGCATTTTCTTGGTCTCCAACTTTGACCTGGATGACTTTGATTTCCCAAAACTGGAGGAGACACTGCTGAATGAGCTCCCTGTTCACAAGCGCTACACCTTTGTGCTCCTGTTGCCCAATATGTCTGATGCTTTCATTGAGATGAAGAGAGCTTTCTTCAAGGAGAAGATCTGGCTGAATGCCCTGAAATCATCTGCTTTGAGCTTCATCCCCTTAGTGGCCTGCTTTAATGACTTTGATTTTGTCGAGCAGGAGAAGTGCTTAAACCAATACCAAAGCCATTTTGGTTTGGATGAGAAGTCAGTCAAAGGGATTGCAGAGAAGCTGGGCATGTCTTTGGAGGAGATCAAGAGTTTCACCAAGTCCTTGAATTTCTGGTTATTTGTGAAGGATGACAGCATAGCAGCCAAAGCCATGAAGTGTGCTGAAAGCTATTGCTCAATAAATGGAGGTCTCCCATCCACTATCTTCCAGTTTTTTAAAATCTACTTTCTGCATTTGAAATTCATAGATGCAGTGGCTGAGGATGCTAAAATTCTCTTGCATAAGACTTCAGAGAGCTTAAGTCTAAGAAGATGTCACAGAGATGGGTCGAAGTGCCTAACTGAATAAAAACTGGGCCTTGGGTCTTATGTTCTATAGGTTGGGGTGGGGTCCTCTGCCCCCCCCCCC